GAAGTGGCAAACCAAATTTTTTGCCCATGCATATCCCTATCAGATGCCCAGGGTAGTGAATAAAATATATATAGGTGCACACTCACATTTAATGGAGGCTTTTGATGGCTCCTTGCATAAAGCCATGAGTGGAATGATCCCCATTCTTGGATAGATGTGCAGTCCCCTCTCTCAGGTGTGAGCAGGTTAAAATTCTCACCATGATGGTAATACAAAAAAATATATAGTGCACACTGTGTTGTTAAAATAAAATAACAGGAGATGTGCTCACTTGGCATGTAGCAAAAATTTGCTTTGCTCAATCCCAAAAAATTCCCCACCAAGGGATACTAGCATCAGGATCACAGAAAAGTCCAGAGGTAGTCATAATACATAAAATTTATTGGAAGAATAATGGCAAAAACAAAAAAATCGTACAATGTGTTTAGCCAAATAATTAGACTTTTTCAAGTATATTACAGACATAGGATCCTTCACTGCTTATTTACAGAGAAAAGGTGAAAATAATGGTTAAATGACACTAGTTGGCGCTAAATAAAAAAATATAAAATAGTAATAATAATACTAGAATGGAGAAAAGGCAATGCCAGGGATCCATCAAGTTCCTAAAATGCAGCTAAAACAGAAAAATGGTAGATCTCTTGAAGTACAAAGGTCTTCATAGACCCAGAGGACAACAAATCAATGGTTGCTGATTTACTATAAAGACCAAGGAGAGCAAGCAATTTAGTAGCACTTGGGAACCAAGAGAAGGAACATAGCACATTAAAATGAACATGTACGAACCAGTTTTTAAACCTCATAGGAAACAAAAAATGGCACAGAATTTAAATATTTAAGCTCCCACTTGGAATGGGTCTGTCTTGCATTTTTTCTGAAGGATACATATTGCTAAGCAGATTAAAAATTAAATTCAATTAAAAATGTGCCGAACCAGAAATTCTCATCCTGTAATTAAATAGATTGGTTATCATTTGTATTTTATTAGTAATATAAATAAAATTACTGCACTTTTAATTTCTGCAAAAAATAATGATAACTAAATTTAGATACATACAAATTAATAATACATTAGAATTCTTAAGTGATAAACTCTGATGCCATGCTTTCTACATGCATCTCTCCTGCTACAATGTATTAATAAGACAAAATAATAACAATAATATATAAAATATTTACAATGCAATAAATGAATAAAATACCTGCTTGATCACTAGTTTTTAGTGATGAGACTGCAGTATACAATATTATTTGTAATATATAAATATATATATTTATTTAATGCAATGTTAAACACAAATACACACACCAGGCAAGCCAATAGACTTGCTGTTACCACAGAAATCTCACTTTAACAGTGCTCTCACTACTGCAAGGGATTCTGGGTAGGCGTATGCAAATGAGCTCAACAAAGAGCCAGATTTTTGCCTCCTAATTCCACTTTATACATGGATTCCTTGGAGTATGTGTCTGCTGCATATAACAGCTTTGAAACACAACTCAGGAAGAGGAACAATGCCAGTGAACTACTCATGGAAAGCTATTTCGTTGTTATTTCAACTCATCAATATGAGATAGCTTACTGGCTTGTTATGGAGGCTTGGCGTTACTTGTTAAGTACATACCAAATAAGTTGGGGTGGGGAAAAAGTGTGGATGAAAACCCCTTCCACCTTAAATTAGTGGATAGTTAATGCAATGTTAAACACAGATATACACACCAGGCAGGCTATAAGACTTGCTTTTACCACAGAAATCTCACTTTAACAGTGCTCTCACTTCTTCCTGAGTTGTGTTTCAAAGCTGTTGTATGCTGTTGATAGTTTTTATTAATATTTTTTTTCTGGAGCTTTTCCTGTCTATTTATTCCTTTATATGTGCTAAAATATTTCTTACAGTTGCTCTATCATTTTATTTATTATTTTTGGGAAGTTCAAAAATATGCAGGCTGTAGTGGTTATGATGCAATGCTTGGAGTAACCCTTTTACAGATTTCAGACGCTGTGTTAAAAAAAAAAAAAAATCTACAATCAGAAATATGCTTTTTTTTTTTTTCTACAGTGATATTACTCATTTGTCTTCTTACTTTTGTGAATGTAAAAACAAAGCCCTTCTATAGGTGACAGCAAGTGTGACAATTTTTATATATGTCCCATTTCAGAGGCCTTTGAATGCCAGTGGTGGCACACATAGCATCAGTTCTCCATCACTGCAGTATACATTAGAACGTACATCAATTCCTATTAGTCACTGAGAATTCCTCTAGTAGTTCCGAGCTCCAATCACTTGGCATATCTGGCCATATATAAGGGTTTCTGTTTACGAAACGTTTAATATTTACTTTTTTTGTTCTTTACCGGAGTTCTTATTGCTTATGAGTAGTGATGTCCCGAACTGTTCGCCACGAATGGTTCGCCACGGACTCATCACTGAGTAAACTTTGACCCTGTACCTCACAGTCAGCAGACACATTCCAGCCAATCAGCCGCAATCAGCTCACTAAGAATGCAGCTTCACAATGGATGCTGTCCAGGAGGTGGGAAGGTCTGGGAGGGAGGGTCTGCTGTTGATTGGCTGGAATGTGTCTGCTGACTGTGAGGTACAGGGTCAAAGTTTACTCAATGATGAGTCCGTGGTGAACCGTTTGTGAACCGTTCGGTGAACAGTTCGGGACATCACTATTTATGAGCACTCACTTAAAGCAGTTTTCCCATGACTCCTTTCTTTTAATAAAATGGAATCCGTTCGCATAATTCACTTACAGTGCTAGTTCTAGCACTCGCAGTCAGGGAACCGCTGATATCCCTACTGTCAGGCTCCGTTCCCAATGAAGAACATGGATGTCACTGACTGCAAACGTGTCAAGAGAGAGCTAACACAAATTCATAGAAAAAAAGAACTGAAAGAGAAAATAAAGTTACATTGCATAATTAGTATACTCAAAATCCAGATTAAAAGTAAAATAATTTTACAATATATGCTGTTTGAAATTGTAATAATAAAATAATAAAAAATAAATATCTGTATTGATTACTGAAAATACACTATAAAACAGAAGATATAGAAATGTGGCAGTTCCTTGAAAAAAAACATTATTTTTTCCTGATAGGTACATTTGGTTGGAATGACTATTTCCTGGAGAATTTCTGTACCTTTCAAGGGTTTTCACAAAACCTGAATTGTAGAGAATTGACAAGAGAATCACCAATTTCATGTTAAATTAGCTGATTAATATAATTAATCAAATTAACAGCTAGAGGTTTCTTCCCGTTTTGCAAATTTGCCTAAATTTTACTTTTACCTTGTCGTGTCTCCACAGTACCTAATGAACAAAATAATTAAGGGAATTCTTTCAAATTATGGATTCCATCAAAAAGAACGTATCACAGGTGGATTTTTTTTTTATCATTGAGGATAATGTATTTTCAGAATTACTTGTGAATCGTTGACGCAAACACATGTGCATAAAACTGGATTTACAACCAAGCTTTAATAGATTATCATTATAATCCAGTAAAAACAGCATAAATGATTCTGAAAACATGTCGATATCTATATTACTCAGTTTTTCAGAATTTGCACTGTATCTGATCCTTTTGCGGTGTTGGCACCAGAGTGGGCATCTGCCTACAGGGACTGGTTCTGTATTGGCACATTTTTACAGCACTTATTATGTACTTTGGTGAGGGAAGATGAATGCCAGAAGCTTTCTCTGGTGTTCTCTATAGTCTAGTTAGCCTCCTATGCTTGATAGCAGTGCTGTAGGGACAGCTGTAGAGGGTGTAAAATTAAATGATGTCCCAGGTCCTCCAGTGTCTCTTTGTGAGGCTGGACAGGAACTTTAAGGTATCACTTCCCATCTGTCCACCAACTGCCTCTAATACAGGAAATAGTTTTCAGGAGGGGTAGGGGTAGCATTAAGTGATTCACACTGTACAACAGCTCCTGCAGTTCTACTATCAATTATAAGAGGTTGAGTACTTTGAAAATAACCTATCAAACTCTACTGCCTGTACCCCAAACACCCTCTTTTCCCCAAACCTAAATTTAACCCCTCCCTAAACCTAACAACCATGGGCGTCCGCAGGGGGGGCAAGGGGGGGGCACTTGCCCCCCCTGGATTTTTCAGCTTGTTCTGCTATTTTTCGTGTGCGATTTAAAATGAACTGCAATACCGGCGCCGGCCAGTAGGTGGCGCTGTGTATGGAGAGAGACAGGGATAGGAAGCTGCATCTTATCCCTGCTTCTCTCTGCTGATTGAAACCGCAGGGGAACAACACATGCAGCCAGAGACAGCCTACCGATCAGGTAAGAGAGGGGAGGGTTTGAGATAGCCTATAGATTTTTTTTGGGGGGGCAGCAGCCTATAGATTTTTGGGGGCAGCAGCCTATAGATTTTTTGGGGGCAGCAGCCTATAGATTTTTGGGGGGCAGCAGCCTATATATTTTTTGGGGGGCAAGGATTAGGGAGTGAGGCTGGGGGCATCCTATAGATTAGGGGAGTGGGGGAAGCAGCCTATAGATTAGGGAGTGGGGGGCAGCAGCCTATGATTAGGGAGTGGGAGCAGAAGGAGGCGGCAGCATAGATTAGGGAGGAAGGCAGCAGCCTATAGATTAGGGAGTGGGGCAGCAGCCTGGGAGGAGTGAGGGGGGCATCCTATAGATTAGGGAGGTGGGGGGGGCAGCCTAAGATTAGAGAGTGAGGGGGCAGTATAGATTAGAGAGTGAGGGGGGCATCCTATAGATTAGGGGAGTGAGGCTGGGGGGGGCAGCAGCCTATAGATTAGGAGAGTGAGGGGGGGCAGTCTATATAGATTAGGGGAGTGAGGGGGGGCAGCAGCCTATAGTTTAGGGGAGTGAGGAGGGGCGGGCAGCAGCCTATAGATTAGGAGAGTGAGGGGGGCATCCTATAGATTAGGGGAGTGGGGGGGGGGCAGCAGCCTATAGTTTAGGGGAGTGAGCATAGGCGTGCGCAGCCTACTGCATTAGAGTGTGCACCCTAAAGCACAAACACACGCCGTGTGTGTGTGTATGTGTGTGTGTATATATATATATATATATATATATATATATATATATATATATATACACACACACACTGCTGTGTGTGTGTGTCTGTGAGGGTGCTGTTTGTGTGCTGTGTGTGAGGGAACTGGTAGTGTACTGTGTGTGTGTGTGTGTGTGAGAGAGGGTGTTTGTGTATGCGTGTTTGTTCTGGTCCTGTTAGTGTGCTGTTTGGGTGTTGTGTGTTTGTCAGGGTGCTGTTTGTGTGTGAGTGTGCTGTTTGTGTGTGGGTTTTGTGTGTTTGTAAGGATGCTGTTAGTGTGCTGGGTGTGTGTGGGTGTTGTATGTGTGTGGGTGCTGCCCTGCCGGTCTCAATCCATTGGCGTGCCACGGGGATAAGGGTGTGCCCAGGCACACCCGACACACCCGTGCGCACGCCTTTGGAAGTGAGGGATGGGGGAGACAGCCTACATGAAGAGTCAGCAAGGAGCAGGAAGGTAAAGTAAGAAAATGAGAAGGAACAGAAATGAGCAGGAAGGGACATCAAGGAGCAAAAGGGGCAGCAAGGAGCTGGAAGGCACAGCAAGGAGCACAAAAGGTAAAGTAGGAGAAGGAGCACAAAGGAACAGAAATGAACAGGAAGGGTCAGCAAGGAGCTGGAAGGTAAAGCAGCACAAAGGTAAAGTAGAAGGAGCAGAAAGGGTCAGAAATGAGCTAGAAGGGGCAGAAATGAGCTGGAAGGGGCAGAAGGAGCACAAAGGTAGAATAGGAGAATGAGCAGGAAGGGCCTGTAAGGAGCACAAAGGTAAAGGAGCAGAAAGAATCAGAAGGAGCACAAAGGTAAAGTAGGAGAAGGAGCAGAAAGGGACAGCAAGGAGCACAAAGGTAAAGTAGAAAAGGGAGCAGAAAGGGTCTGCAAGGAGCAGAAAGGGATCAGAATGAGAAAGGAGCAGAAGGGCTCAAAATAAGCAGAAAGTAGCAGAAAGGTAAAAGAGCAGAAGGGGTCAAGGATAGAAAACAGTGTCAGAAGAAAAAAAACTGTCAAATGAAGGAGAGGAAAAGGAGATTGGAGCAGGAAGGACAAATGAAGTGAACCCTCCACTTTATTCTGGACACCACATCATAAGGCTTTGGTACCTGGGCCAGACAGGGAAACGCTGGACCTTCTCATCTCCAAAGGTAAAAAAATATCGGTGTTAATGTGTTCACTTTTATTTACTGAGTGTCAGGAAGCACAGAGTGCCGTTGGGTAGGGATGTTGCTGATTGGCTAGAGCGGTCAGCTGGCACTCTAAGCCAATCAGTAGCTCCCCATTCATAAAAAAAAAAATATTTTATGAACCGGGAACTAGCGATTGGCTTAGAGCGTCAACTGTCCACTCTAGCCAATCAGCGGCACCCATGCCTGACGTCAGTCTGCACTTCCTGACACTCTGTTTCAGAAGCCAAATACCACTGAGCGACCTGGAGCTGGAGGAAGCCTTTGGGGTTAAACCATTTGAGAGCGATTTAACCCCTTAAAGGAAAGCGAGCACCCAGGGGCTTCCTGGCATCATAGCATTTTCATTTAGGTGAAGTTATTATGGTGACCAGAATGGTCCTTTAATTTGCTTAAAGGAACACTATAGTGTCAGGAATACAAACAAATATTCCTGACACCATAGTTGTGAAAACGCTATTCACCCTGGCTTTATGTGATAATGACTATGCCCCTTCCCTTTCACGACACTGTCAAAAAGGTACCAAGCATGGATGTCATTACAATTATGCCCCCCCCTGGAAAAGTTCCTGCGGACGCCCATGCTAACAACTTTCTCCTTAGTCAAAAATGTAAGTACTCAATGCCTAAACCAGCAGCAAAACCTTTAATGTCAATCCTAGGTTTAACCTCTCTCAAGATTTTCAACACCCTGTGTAATCTAACTCTGGGATTAACCCATCTATAACCAGCTCTAATATTTCCCCATCTCTAATCTTAAACCCTCCTTTAACCTAACCATTTATAAGATTATTTGTAATCCTTGCATTTAGATAGGTGCAGACACAATACATTGCAAGCAGAAATATTCACATACATATATACATAAACACGTTTTCACACTTGAATGTATGTTTTGGATTTTTTAATGCTTTGTCCAGTTAATTCATTAAACTCCCTTAATATGCATTTATTTTGTGGTAGTAGTCTAATTCTGACATGTCAATCTGGCCCTGTCGGTGATGTAGATGACCAGGAAATGGCTAAAATTGGAAATTTGTTTACAGTTCTCTGAAACCTGCTATACTGCTGTGTAGTAACTGGCAGAGTTTCATTCAATAAAACCTCTTAAAATCTGTTCATGGAAGTAAGTGGAAGCCGCTGCTGTTAGAAAGAAACACAGCACTGGTTAGGAATGGAACAAGTCCATCCACCAGGTTGTGATGGTTGAAAGATACAATGGGACCTAACCCCTAGAAGTGCAAAGAGAAAATAGGACTAATGGGTTGCAGATTATAAACAATCTGCCTCCCAAAAAGACCTTGTATCCTTATGTGAAAAAAAGCTACTCTGCAATTATAAATATAAAAGTGGAGCGCAGAGAGCAAAAAACGAAAAACTCTTTATTAATCCCTCTTGGGGAGAAACACACAGATACTAAACAAACAAGTAATAAAATTAGGATCTAATTGGATAGAATCGACTAGTCCAAAAATAATAGTAATATGGTCAGAAGAAATGCTATAAATATGTGTGTGGCAGAATTGCCATAAATAGTAGCAAATAAATATGACCAAAAGGGGGGAGATACATTAAATGTAGCTGCTGGCTTACATTCAGGGCCTGTGCTAGATTACTTGTGTCCAGCTATTTGCAATCCCCCTAAACAAAAATTGCCAACGTTCTGTATGCCTTTCTCCGAAAACTATTTTGTGTGTCTCTTTTCCCCCTTCCTCTGTATTTCTCTTGCACGAGCCCCTTTGTGTGTGTGTGTCTCCCCCGATCCCTTTTGCAAGTCTCTTTTTCTCATTCCCCTATGTATGTGCCACTGTCCTCTACCCCAGCCCATCTGTGTGTCACTGTCCCCTTCTCTAGCCCCTCTGAGTTTCTCTGTGACTCCTTCCCTAGGTCCTCTGTATGTGTCATTGTTCCCTTCCTCAACCCCTCTTTGTGTCCCCTTCCCCAGCCCCTCTGTGCTTCTCTGTGACCCTTCCCCAGCCCCTCTGTGTGTCACTGTTCCCTTCTCCACCCCCTCTGAGTTTCTCTGTCTCCCCTTTTCCAGGTCCTCTGTGTGTGTCATTGTCCCCTTCCCCAGCCTCTCTGTGTGTGCCATTGTCTCCTTTTGTTAAGAGCCCATTGGGCCTGGTGCTGACAATTATGATGGGCCTAATTACAGAATCTTATCTACAGAAAACACTAAAACAGTTATACCTCCCAAACATGTATCCGATGGAGATTGTGCTGGAGGGAAACTCACAGGATTTAGCCATCAGAAAACACATACCCTATGCTAATCTCTCGCTTTCATCTTTCAAGTAAACTCATACCCCCTAACAGCAGTGTCCGGTGAAGCAGGATTTCGATGGGTGTGGTAAAAGGGTGGGCCATTGATGTGAATTACATAACCAGCACCGCCCAAAGGGACAAACATGCCCAAAAAGGAGGCGTGTCTGCACAATGAATTAGATGGTCAGTCTAGTGCGAATGCACATCAGGTTGCCTGGTAATCATGCAGGATGACCAGCCAAGGTCATACCATGCAGATGGCACCCTGAGCTTGGCAGGCAGAAGCTCCTGTTCTACAGTCTGTGACAGAGAAAGGGTGTATATAGTCAGTCTAAAAGAAAGGGAACATGTCACACTGTTAGAGAGACTGAAGCAGCAAGAGCATTTGCATAATGTGCAAAGTCAGCTTTACCCTAACTAATTTAATTGTCAGCCAATCCACACCATTTCTTTTAAATCAATGGGCCTATTCCATAGGCATGGTCCTGGAGCTACAGCTCCATCAGCCTCTATATTAGTCCGACCCTGCCTTGTGTGTACCTGTGTAGCATAGCTGAGAGGATTGTGGGCAGAGTATCTTCTGTATCTTCTACCCAGGATGACAGGAAGTTGTTTGTTGCTCCAGGGGACAGAGACCCCTTCCCCAGTCCCTCTGTGTGTGTGTCACTGTCCTTTTCTCCAGCCCCTCTGTGTGTCATTGTCCCCTTTTCCAGCCTCTTTGTGTGTCTCATTGTCTCCTTTTGTGTGTCCCTCTGTAGCATAGCTGAGAGGACTGCAGGTAGCGGATCTTCTGTATCTTCTACCCCGTCTGACAGTAGGAAGTTGTTTGTTACTCCCAGCTAGCACTTCCTGTCAGACTGGGTAGAGGATACTGAAGATCCTCTACCTGAGATCCACGTGGCCACTTTAATAGAAATGACTGTCAGAATGGGGAGCACTGTGCTGTGCATTCACCTCCTGCCAGTCACCAGGAGTATGAACATTGTGCCCAACTGGTATGGGGCACCTAGGCGGCTGCCAAGTTTGCCTAGCAGTAGAGCTGGCCCTGCTTACATTCACTTGCATAAGACGTTTCTGTTGTTTTATTGTTTTTCTTAAAATGAAACTTCACAAATGGATCTATCTGAGAATGTAACTATATAATTTGGAGCACTTGAATTCACGGTACATAACATGATCTCCCTAACGGTGCGTCCTTCTTACACTTACCCCTGAATTACAAAATCTACAGTGCAAAATGTGCAAAGCACAAATTCTATATTTGCAATGGAAATTAACACTGTTTGGCCTTACTGTGAATCTACTGTAAAGTCAGCAATTCATTCAAGAAAGCCATAATTAAAAGGACATCCATCAATCAATCAATCCATCCATGGCACAGTGAAAAAGAAAGATTTTGAAATTCTAAGATTAGTCCTACCCCAAGGATACAGCTACAAACCCCCCAAAAAGGAAAAGTGCACTACATTATCCATTCAGAATGTTGTGAATTATGTAATATAACACATATGAAATATATTAAACAGTGCTATGTTATCTCATCTAGATCCATGGCACTATTGTTGCTTTATTAATTACAGTTAGCTTAAGATTTAAAAAACAATGGTACAGATATTGGATACACATAATAA